ACGTATGATTGTGTGCGTGTGGGAGAGAGAGAAAGAGAGATCAACCACAAAGACATGGGAGAGAGAAATATATACATGAATATACAGAGATAGAGAGAGAGAGAGAAAGGGGGTGGGGTGGACTGAGGGTAGATTTCACCGTATGGGTTTTCCATCTGGATTTATCGAAGGCTCATTTGGCGTGTCAAGAAATGCAAAATTACCCTGTGAAACACATCCAGTAGCTATACTGCCACATAAGTCGCATTGACGTGGTATGACTAATATATAATGAGTACTGCTATAGCTTTGTTTAGTCATCCTCTTCCTTGAACAAGCGTCTGGTTTGTGCTTCAAAGAAAGAAGTATTTTCACCTGTATTAATCCTGAAAAAAGAAGAAATTAAGACATTATCTAATAATATGACATAAGACTTTGAGATTACGCAAACCTCTTATCCTCATTTTTTAGACGTTCTAAATATCTATTCCTATGATTTATTATGATTTTAAAGAGTTTTATAACATGAAGGCCTGCATCAGAAATTAAAAAAACAAAACAATGTTACATGTACCATGAGATATCTATATTTCGGCATCCTCTTTATCATTGGCTCATTGAATACAACTGTAACTCAATCAAAAATTGCATGTATATTTATATACATATGATTTACAAATATATGTTGGGCTATACTACGTGCGGATTATAAACGCATTCAAAAACACAATAACAAGAATTGAAGAGTTCTGTATTACCATATTAGCCAAAATATATTTTCAAGCATGTTAGGATTAGTTTAGTTCCCTTTGGTTATATCATAGACCTACCACCAATGTGGTAGGTCTATGGTTATATAATGTTTTACTTTCATTTCTCTACGTTCTCTAAGTGTGATATATAATTTGTTTGATGTAACAAAAGACGCTTCTCTCCATTAGGGCAAGGATTCACACGCATTTCGTCTATGCACGCGTGTGTATGATTAGTGGGGTTTTATGAGCTTCGGTACTTCTAGCACGCGCCCATCGCCACTCGAGCGGCCAGCGGATCGCTGAAATATCTTGCGCCGAGATTGTCCGTGACAAGAATACCAAGTGCACCGTAAAGCGGGGAAGGTCGGAGGTTAGAGAAATATTAAAAAAAAGATGGAGGCCTTAATTTGTGTCGATTATTTCACGTGTCCAGTCTTTTAGGTTTGAGGAGGGAAGTTAATTGCAAGAGACGTGTAAATGGAAGGTTGAACAGATGCGAGTACACGACAGATATGTACCGTACGCTGTAAATGAGCATTTACGACTTCAGTTTATAAAATGATTTGAATAATCAAATTTATTTCATAAATTCATCCATTGGACGTAATCCCTTGAGTTAGTAGCAGTTAAACAGTTTGAGTGTGTAAACACGTAACGAGCAGAAGGACGAACAACATTTCGTACAAATCGAAACAAGGTCCAATGTTTGCAAAACTACGTGTTTGAGAGATAAATCACATGTACATGCAGTAAGATAAAGCAAACTCTTAGTTGATGTATTTAATAACGATTGAGCATCCCATTTGGCTTTTCATATACAATTCGTTCGTAAAATCATGCGTAACTTTACGGACAGCTTTATGAAACACCCCCCCCCCGGAATACGTAATACCTCATTGTAATGTTCGCAATTTTCAAAAGGTGACGTACAACTTCAATTGCCTCATGTTGATTTTTGATTTTGCGATCTAATCGTGTGATCAATTTGTTTGCCTGCCAACCTCTCTCTCTCTCTCTCTCTTATTCTTTCTTTTACATCCGGTCATGCTATGCTAATTTATGCAAATATGCAAATAATTTCATTGTTATATGATTAATAAGCATTCGCACGATCACTAGTGCCTCTTAATTATTAATTTTTTGCTCTTAAGCTTATCTTAAGATAATAATAACAAGAATAATAATTAATTTTTATATAGCGCTTTATACAAATGTCTCTAAGACTTAGTACATCTCAAAATTGGAAAAATTTTACGAGAGTTTTATGCAGTAAATCTTAAAATTTGCAAAAAACTAAAAACTAAGAACATTCTATAGATAAATCATTTTCATTTTTCTGGCGAATGTAATAATGTTTTAACTGGCGAATGTAATAAGGTTCAAAATATTATGTAGGCCTACTACGCCTACATTTTTATATGATTTTCATAATAACAAAAATACACCAAGAATGATGAACTCCACACAATGAGATTTGTTTTTATAGATTTAATTCACAAAACACTGCATTTATTTCCATCGATTCATACTGAACTATTATCTGCAAAGTATTTACAAGATCTGTACAAATAAAGTACTTGACAGTATGATACAATAGTGACTTTGAAACAAGTACAATATAGTACTGTACCTTTGGGAAAGATTTGTACATAGTTGTGTCATTACAAAATACTTTTACATGTACTACATCATTTTGTTTACATACTTAGTATTGGCCAGTATTAAAATGGCTTTCCAATTTAATTTAACAACAAAATTAAAACGATGGCTAACTGAAATCTGAAAATGTCACATTTGATAAAGGAAATACATGTATATCGAAATACAATCTTCGTAGGTAGCCCAATTTTTGTATAATTCCACAGGAAATTACAAGTAGAGCCCGGGAAAGAACTGAGTCTATACATAACGCTTTAAAAACAACGTTTTTGTTGCAATTTAGGCTATGAAGTCACAGTTATCTTTCTCATTACAAGTAATAGTTTCGGCAAAGTTAGTCTTGCCGTAACTATGATTTTAAAGCACGTGACATACAAATATCCATTTTCATGAACTACACAACCATTTGGTATAACTTGTAGACAGTTTCAAACACAACTAAAGGTGTTCAATCCTTCCTTTTAAAGTCTAAAGTTCGTTGACCATATAATCATTCACATGTGAACAGCGTACTGCATTCAAATATTTCATAACACATTCTTGTTAAGAGAAGAATCTGAAATAACACTACTAAACACATAACGTACTAAAATGACGTAAATTCACGGAATATTATCAATTTGAAAAGAAAGAATACATTAGAATCGGTATCGAGTATTCAAGTTGAAATCTATAATATTTGGAGGTATCTTTGCAAACTCGAAGCCTATACAAGGAACCTGGAGGCCGATGCAATGGGACGCGATATTCATAGATGTATACACAAATTATAATCTACCCTGTAACCTAGTTCCGAATTCGTCACATCTCTGCCACGAAAATGTGGTTTATGAATATATATTTCACTAGATCTTGACCAGATATAGACCAAAATGATTGAAACAGCGTTTTACCAATTCATATGCAGATTGGCGGTCTCGATATAAAGTTGTTGGCCTATAATTATAAGAGTTAAAAATTGGGATATTAAACAGCTAAATATCAAGAAAGAATCCTGTGAAAGATTTTATTTTATTTCATTTATTAATTTCTGCATCATCTTTTTGAAAGTGCATTTTAATGAATATACTTGTAGTCATAAATCTGTCACAACATGGTGAAATGTTTAAAAGAAATACAAAAACCTACTCGGAATAGAAATATAAAAATCTTGTGACAGATATATAAGAACGTTGATTTATAGTTTAGATACAACATTATCCCGTCATTGGTACCCATGTATCCGAGCATACTACAGTGTATTTCAATTTTGACCGATGTAAACATGTAAAATAGGTAGTACTGTTAATGAAATAAAAAAAATAGGGTAAGCCTTATAATGTTATTGCATGCATTAAGTTGTCTGCAAATAAAATAACTCATTTAGGGAACAAAATACTCCTCAATAGATTTGCGCTACTATCAAATCTGTATGTTGCTCATACAAAACAAAAACAAGACAAAAAAATGAAAACAAATCTATATAAAAAAAGGGAAATTAAAATCGCGAAAAATTCTTTTTCTTGAGGTACATGAATACAAAAATGAAATCGATAGGTGTTAATTTCATGTGAAGATTTCCTTTGAAAATACGCTTCGTCTAGCTTTGTAGTTGTGATGTTAAATCATATGACAATAATATCGCTTTTAGTGAGCTAGAACAAAACATCTAATAATCTATACATTACCATCCTAAAACATAATTCTACCGGATTTATTTACGTCATAGTACATCATAGAAATTTCCCTCAGCGGAGCAACATGTAGAACTATATCAAGATCAAATTTTGCTCTTCACTCTTCATTGCAAGAATAAAGTGGAACCGCAATTTTTATCTATATTCTACAATACTGCATATAAACCATTTCTTCAATAATGTATCATATTTTGCTTAAAGTCTCTCGTCTTTACAAAATATTCACAAAACTATATGTTACAATGATAAGGAAAACATTCTATACAACCAATTTACAAGCATATTTTGCTGCGAACATTTTAACACATTAATAATCTTTATTATTGTCAATGGCAGCGAAATTATCCGGTTGACGGTAAGCATAAACCAATGCTTAATCGAAGTTTTAAAGACCCACAGAATAAAGAAACATTTGAATATATACCCAATAAAAATGGACGATTTCCCCTCCCACAATGCAAAGCGCGCATGATGACTTCCGGGATGCAGAGAAGTCACGTCACAGGTGAATAGAGCTCAGTCTGTTATGTTGCACCATACTCAGTAGGCTTCATGAATTCAAACGTTGATCAGAAATTCAAACAGTTCTCATTTACCATGATTCTTCACACTTATCATAATAACTGACGACGTCATGAGATTTATGTAATAGTTGAAATCAGATGCTTGGTAACAGCGAATCTTCAAGTTGTCATTGTCTTTCTATAATTGGGAACATTTAGTTCTTCGCGGTTTCGTCAGATAAAGAAAAGAAATGATGAAAACAAAAGTCATAACCAAATACAAACGTTCGTTGGTGCAAATGCTGAACATATAACTTTGAAGACAACTGTGCATCGATGTTGTAATGAAGTCGCTAATATAACCCCAAACAAATTATTTTCCCCCTCCCCTATTACCCCCCCCCCCCCCTTGTTTAAAAAATAATTGGCCTCCAAATAAAAAGCACACCAGTTCGTTGAAATCATGAGTCATGAGATGGGTTGAGCCTGTGATATGGGAGGCATCCATCTTTGTGATCTTAGCTCTCTATAAACCTGCAGTGGTCTACATATATTATTTGTAGCAGCTGGATTAACGAGTTGGTCGAGCCTGTGATTTAGGGAGCATATACCCAAGAAGCATACATCCGTTTTCCCATACTAGCCTATGCTGGAGTCATGAGTTTAGTTGAGCCTGAGATGTGGGAAGGATCTACCCAAGAAGCATACATCAGTTTTCCGATAGCATTTGCTAGAGTCATGAGTTTAGTTGAGCCCGTGATGTGGGAGGCATCCACCCTAAAACCATGCAGCCGCTTTTCCACAGTCTTTGCTGGAGTCATGAGGTGATAGAGAATTTATGATGTGGGAAGGATCCATCTTATCTCATCATGTGTGTGGGATGCCGGTGGGCCATCATGGCTTCCATGTCCAACGGTCGCATGTGCTATAGGACGAAAAAGAAAATAGAAAGGGAGATAGAAAAATGAATTATTATTTTTTCAGTCTCAACTCATTTTAACAGTCATATCTCACGATTATACTTACCTGCTTATGAAAGAAAATAATTTCTTTACGTATAGGCCTACTGTACAACTAGAATTCATCAAATCAATTTCCTTGCGGCTATATGATCATGATAAAGCCTGCAATAAAGCTACGTATATTTGTAAAAACAGACTACCAAGGAAATGAACATAATAATGGAAAGTGCAAAATGTACAAATAATCACATTTAATCGAATACTAAAAGGAGTGAAGATGTTGGATTTACATCTATGCATTCAAGACGTAATGATAATTTCAGTAAAATACCGAACGTTTTACAAGACACCGTCACAATTTTGTAAATAGCAAAAACGAAACTGTTCACTATTACTTTAATAGTCAAAAGTTTTTTCTCATAACTTTGATATTCATCCTCAAAAAGTAAGTAAATCTAGGTTAATGGCATTCCGAAAGTAAAATGTCAACAGTGTCCCGCGATCAAGGTCCATTTCTCATGTTTTAGGGAAATGGTGTTAGTGATTGTTGTTTCCTAGATACAATGTCGAGTTCTGGGAAAGGTAAATAACATACTTTAAGCGACTTCGGGCAAATTTAAAAAAAACATGTCACATCTTTATAAGGATTTGCTCTTCCATGTGAACTGCGATGTTCCTTCCTCATCCTTCGCTTTAAATGGGGCGGGGGGGGGGGGGGGTCGGCCAATATTCACAGAATATCACTAAATTAGGTCAAATCATGTATAGTGTAAAGCCTTACAAACATGCAGCTAAAAACGAAGATTATTTTTAAAATCTTATAACTGTCACTCTTTCACATCTTCAAATCATGCACAATCTAGTAGCCGACAAAGTCGGAAAATCCCCTCTAGTGACACCTTGTATTAGAAATACCAACCAACCAAAAATCCCTAACCTTTCAAAAACTTCTCGAACAACATGCCCAGTCATCTTCTAGACAGATTTCTTAAAAATTTGTTTTAATGAAACAATTTCCTCTCAAAACTAAACACAATGGAGTTCTTGGTCATATCAGACTTATATTAAAAAGTAGCCTCTACAGGCCAGGAGAAGCTAGATGAACGTTGCAAAATGCAGCAACAATATCTCTAGACGCATGCATAAGCCCCGAAGGAAGAAAAAAAAACACTCGGAAAACTATGACAAAAATAATTCATTGACCCCAAATGAAATGTTTACAAAATGTATCGATGGACATGACCTTTTATGGATTCCCAAACTCATAACTACGCTGATAATATTATGTTGGGTAAAAAATAAAGAATTTATCAAACAGCAAATTAGCAATACTCCTCTTACAAATGACTTGCTAGGAAACAAAAATATTGGCACGTGTAAGTTCAAAGATTTTTGTTTCACTTTTGTTTCGTTCGTCTAACCCATGAAACCGCGGACATACATTAGTAAAAAAAAAAGAAAAAAAAAAAGAAGAAGATATCTCCTCAGACTATCAACAAATCTGTGTCGCCTAGCCCTTCCTGGTTGACCTTTCTGACTGCACTTTTCGTGGTCTTGTGTCTATGGTGTCTGGTGGCGCTGACCTGAGGTCAGCTGGGGTCATCGGTTTGATCCAAGGTCTACTTCCGATCACGTGGGCACACGAAGCATTGTTACAGGACGCTGAGACAAGGGATTGTGCGAGTAAAATCCACGTTGAGACCAAGGAGCTTAGCTATAACTCCAAACTCGACAGGAGTTTTGATGTGGCAGGTCTGGATATGGCATATGTCTAGTTCAACCTGCACTGACCATGCATGGCACATAAAATTGAAGGGAGACCTACATTTTCCTAATTTATTCAGTGTATTTATTTGAATGTACAAAAGTTACTTTATTTCTGTGAGTAGTCATCGAAGCAGGGATGTGGATAATGACAAAAAATTAAGCAACGATTTTACCAGTATTCAATATCAATAATACTTATTGTTATGAGATAGAAGAAAAAACTGATACAATACAAATGTCAAAATTCTAATAAAATGCAAGTTGTTCCATGATTATTGCAGCTACTATCTCAGTGGAAGGCTGACACAATGTAAACATAAAGCAAATAAAATACTGTAGTTAAATCCACCAATTGATTTCGTTAGCACTTCTCAAAGTTCGACACTCTTTTTTTCCATGACATATCTATTGGTAAGTGACCGGTGAATGAGCACAATATAACTCCGATCACGACGTTAAACTCTACTAAATATATAAAAAATAATATGAAACTTGGAAGCTGGAAGTGATGTAGCAAATGCAATTCGAGTTTCCTCCACCGGTTTGTCGGTGGGTTGGTACCGGCGAAGTTGTGGGTCAAAACACGAACCCGCCAACGCAACTTCCACGCCACAATTATGTCGCCTCTGATTTAATCTGGGGTTTGTCTGTGGTTTTCCACTTTTGTTACAATTATATATATATACATATACATCTACTCACGTCACGTCCTTATTTCATTTATTTGGAATTTTAAATTTCAATTCTTACAATACATGATGTTCTCCTGATTTTCTTCCGCCACATATCCAATTTTAATGTAGAGACATATCTTAACATATTAATTTTTTCTTTAAAATAATAATATTCTGAAAGATCTAAGGTTTATTTCAAAGTATTATCATCCATCAGTTGAAGTTCTATTGATCATGCCATGTTTCAACATGTTCAATAACAAAAGTATGTATTTCATCGAAGGGCAAACTATTTATTTGTCAACTTGATAGCATGGAACTGAACTAAATTTCATCAACTAATAAATCATCTTATTTATTGCACTTTTCATCAATTATATACCTTTATCATGTATATAAAGAAGTAATTATGATTTAGGAACTTAAGTATTAAAAGTAACATTCATTTTCTGCTCGGAATATTTACATGAGCGTAAAGCCCAAGCTATTGATATTGAAGTCCCATATGCATGATATTCGCGTAGGTTTACAATCCACGCTGCTTGACATCGAACCACGCCATTCAACCGGTCCGTCCGTGCCTCAGCTCCAGCCACTCGTTGGAGATCGAGGAGTAAATGGATACAATGTGGAGGGCAATAGAGGAAGCACGGCTTACTGCATGTTTCATCACTTCGGAAGTAATAGTTTACAGATGGAACCAAGTGAGTAGCGATGGGATTATGAGTATTGGCTTAGGATTGAGATTGAGGGTACTCACGAGTTCTTGTTCTAGTTCTAGTCAATCAATAGGTGTTCAGAAGGTATAGTGGTAGAAATTCGAATTTATGATAATTTCACCTCTCTTTAGTTCTTCACAAAAAAAAATGATTTAAACATTCCTAACGATTTTTATAACACTCCAGTCTATTGGGGAAAATGAGTAGGTAAAATCGGTCACTCAAAGTTTTTTTAAAACTTTTTTGAAGCACTTTATGATCTTTTTGAAGCGCAATTTTTTGTAAGGGCTTCAATACTAGTTATTTCACTATATTACAGACACTGATAACTCGTAGGTCCATGCATCTCATATTTAACATTGTTGAATGATTCCAAAACTTAATATCATAAATTGTAATTGGCCAAATTTGTCGTGCATTGAAATGTGCTTTTACAGTTTTTCCTCCTGCATCTAAAATCTTAAAAGTTATCCAAATCAAATTATATTTCCCTTGAGATAGTGCCTGAATTTACAGTCGTTGGAGTATTTGTTGGTGACCATCGTGTGTTACAAAGATGGTGAAGACATGTTCAATTAACGTTTGCCTTTACAGTGTTATTGTCCTGCTGCTCCTGCATCAAAAATCTTAGGAAAGCTTAAAGTTTCGGAATTATCAAAATCAAATTATATTTCCCTTGAGAACGTAACGATGAAGGATGAATTGAGGAAGATGAGTCATCCCTCGTCACAGCTTTATCAGGGAACAATCAATGTTTAAAGTCTGGTGTAGATGATGATTTGGAAGGCTATCTTTGTCCAACTTCTGTTGTCAATTTGCGAGGGATTTCAGATATTAGGTGGATGATTAGGATTGTTGATCCACCGTGGGAACAACATTATGAATACCAGATTCTAAAATAAAAGAAGGAACGTTCGTCACGATAAGGCGCCCCACTCTATACCACCCTGCATGCACTTCAGAAGATTTTTTTTTACAGCATCTCAAATTTGCCCGGTGAAATTTTTTTAATTATCACTCTATTCCTTCACAAGAATCGTGATAATGCATTAGGTAATAATTATGCCTAATTATGAAGGGATGATGAGAACTTGTAAAGGTAAACTCATGTGGAACTATTTAATTTTTATCTAGGCTTATAATGGCCTTCAATTCAGAGCAACTTGCTTTTAAGATTTATTTCCCTGTGCAATATTGCTGATTTCACATTCCTCTAAAATAATGTCGTTTGCCAAAAGGTGTACCCAAAGATAGAGGAAGAAAGGACGTAAGAGAAAGAAAAATGAACTAGAGGAAGCAGAAATTGAAAGAAATAGGGTAACATCCAGAAAAACAAAGAAGGCGACGAAGAAGAAGGAGGCATATGAGGAAGAGAAGGAGAAGAAGAAGAATATATTAAGTGTGGAAGTTCAACACCAGTCAAGTGTTGTTTACATTGATCTGACCCTCTAGGTCATGTTGTATTTTTGTTTCATTCACTTCCAATTCTCAACCTACTTAGGGCCGAGTCAAAGTGTTACACACCTACACCGGTGAGGAAAGAAGAGTCGGAGATGTCGAGATGGGGGTAACAAGAGCCTGAAGAGGGTAAAAGAATCTTCTACCCGGCGAAGGGAGTGATGCGAGCCCGGTGGGAACCAACTCCAAGAAAGAAACACAAAATCCTGTCCTATTCCCAATACAACTTGCAAGACGAACTGAGAGAGATAAGAAATGGGATACTCCCGACAAGAGTTTAAAGATATGACATGACGCAAAATTATTCAAAATTGTAAATGGAAGCTACTTTTTTAGAATACAAAA